GCACTTTTTAAAAAAAAAATTAAAAAAAAAAGTTTTCATTGGTTTAACAGTCATCGAGAGCACACCAAAGACATTCGGGCGGAGCTAACAACGTGGTTGATGGCCGTAACAGTCTATCGAGAGCAGACCAAAGACATTTGGGCGGAGCTAATAACATGGTTGATGGAACAATTATTGAGGGGACCAAAAACATTTAGGGGTGGTTTAGGATATTTTAAATAAATGTATTTTTTAATTTTTTATAAAAAAAATACGTAAAAATATAGAGAAAGTGTGTAGAAAAGTAAGGAGAAGATCTTGATAGATGTTAATTGATATGACCTAAACAAGTATATATATATTTTGTTAATGCATGTAAAACACCTACTCAGGCTTCTTTAACACGGAGGGTATAAATGTATATATCTCTCCATTCCATATCCCACAAACGGAAAATATGATATATTCGTACTTTTTAAAAAAAAATAATAATAAAAGTTTTTCATTAGTTTAAAAACAAAAAGGGAAATAGTCGTACAATGGCCCCGTTTGGTGTAACTGTTAAAACAACTTATAGATTATAGTTTAACAGATTATAGATTATGACTTTAATCAGAAGTTGTTAATCTGTTTGGTATAGCTGTTGGATTATAAATTTAAGTTGCTGAGTATGTTTGTTAAATAAGCTCTGAAATAGCTTTTTGCAATTAATTTTTATTTTTTGTTTGTCTACATTTCTCATAAAAAATAATAATAATAATGTATAGTCAATTTGAGTCTTTTTCTATTTTTAAAAAAATAAAAAATAAAAAAATTTAAGAGTATAACCATAAATTAACATGTCCACAGCAGAAGTTGATAATTAGAAGCAATGGGTGAGCAGCTTCTCAGAATCAGCTTTTTTGAGTTAAAATAAGCTGTTAGAATCAGAAGCTGTTTGAAATAAGTTTAACCAAACAGTCCAAAATAACTTTTTCAAAGCTAAAAGCCATAAGTTGGCTCTGAAAAGCTGAAACAAACACCCCCAATGTAACAAGAAAAAAAAATGAGATTTTTTTTTAGGGCCCTGATTTTAAGATTTCATAGTATAAAGGATATTTAATATTTTTATAATTCTAAGATCCCTCAACATTGATCCAGAGAAATTTCTTCTCAGAGAAATTCTCTCTAGAAAAATTTTGGGCTTCCCAAAGAATTTCTCTGAGTTCAAACCAAAGAAAATTGAACAACATAGAGAAAATTAAACAGAACAGAAAAAATTACTCAGAGAAAATTGAAATTTCTCTAAGTTCAAAGCAGAGAAATTCAAAGAAAATTGAATAACACAGAAAATTAATAGGTGATGGCTCAATGTTCGTACTAAGGCGAGCATTAGGATTTGGGATTAGCAGAGGCCTCAAAGTCATCCGAGATAGAGATTCCAAATATTATTCCTAAAATTTTAACTCAAATCTAAATGACTCAAAATGTTATGAGGAAGTACTACACTCTGTAATTCATGGACTAAAATACGAATTCAAACGACAACCTTGAGGTCCATAGCTTGATCAAACAGTCGCGGGAAGCCGAGATGATTTGGCGATTATCGAAAGAGAAAACGACGGAAAGGACGTCTTTGGAGTGGCCAACGAATGACGAGTAGTGATGTCGGTGGAGAGGTCCCAGAGGCGGAGGCAGTTGCCAGAGAGAGAAAACTGGCCGTCAGAAAAGATGACGACGTCTTCAAAGAGTAGTCGGTGAGGCGGTGGCATGGGAGGCTGTAGACTCTGTCTTCCTTGGTGAGGTTCTAGACTATGAGGGATTTGTTGCGAGATGATGTGACAATCATGTCCGAGTTGTCGATTGGGGTTGTGATTGCGGTCACCCAGTCTCACGGCAGTGGAGGCGGAGGCGGCGACCATTGAAAGGAGTGAAGTGAGGTTTGGATTTAGAGAGAGAGAGGGAGACGAAATAGAGAAGATAGAGAGAGAAATGAGGTTTGATTTTACAAGTCAAATTTCTCTGTAATATATGGGTGTCGGGTTGAGGGACCTTAGACATCATAAAATAATATTGTAGATCTTTTCTATTACTAAAAATAGGAGAGGGACTTTAGACTAATGTTTCACAAAAAGAAAAAAGAATAATGTTTGAGGGCCCGAAATTAGGGGCTCGAATTTGGCTCGAAACCCAAAACGACGTCGTTTTGGGTTTCAATTTTTTTTTTCTTCCTTTTCTTTCTCTTCATTTTCTTCTTCTTTGTTGAACATAGGAGAAAAGCAGAGACGAGAGAGAGAAACAAAGTCGTCATCGTCGTCGTCGCAGCTCGTCGGCCGATCGTCGCAGCTCATCGCTCGTCGCTCATCGGCATCGCAGGCCCGCCTGCGCCTTTGCCTCTGCCTCTGCCTCCGCCTGCCGCCTCCGCCTCCGCCTCCGCCTCCGCCCTATTTTGTTGGCCCCTCCAGTCCAGTTCTTCTTCTCCTTCTTCTCCTCCTCTTTCTTCTTCTTCTTCCCCCTAATTTCGAGCCAAATTCGAGCTCCTATATTCGGGCTCTGTAGCGGGGTTCAAGAAAAAATTACAAAATCATAAAAAAAGTAAAACATTTTAATTATTAAAGTGTATAAATTTTATCAATGATTTGTAAAAAAAAATTCTGTTACAACTAGACTGTTATTTTTTCAAAAAGAAAAAAATAAATTACTTTTTTGAAAGTATAGATTAGATTATAAACCTCGTTATTGACAATGACAGTATATAAGATAAATTAAATTTATATTTAGGGCATGGCATTATTTTATTTTATGTGACGTTAAAAAATAAATAAATTAAATTTTGATCTTCTTTGAAACTTAAAGAAATATTATAATTAGTCTTATATTTTTAAATAATTATACTAATCTTTGTTATAATAACAATGAACTGGACAGTGCTAAGGGACATTATAAAATTACAATATTACCATTTTATATCATAACAAAATTACAATTTTAACATTACATAACTAAATCCTCTCTTTTTTTAAATATCGCCACCAAATCATCACACATCGTGCCGCCGTGAAAAGCAACACAAAAATCACAAACCACAATCGGTCACCACTTTGTCTCCACCAACATCATCTATTCCTCTCTCTTTTTTCGTAATTTTTTTTGCTTCATTTTGTTGTTTGTTGTGGCTGATTAGGCCAAGTAGCGACCCGTGACGAGGACGATGATGAGAGAGAGAAACCTGGGAGGAGAGAAGTATATGGCATTGATCAGTGAGATAGATGAGGATGTTTGGTTGGGTTTGGTAAATATGTTATGCAAATTAGGGATTATGAGTGGCCTTAAAGTCCTCCAAAATTACGTCATAATGGAAAATTATTTGATAATTTTAGAGTATTATGGGGTCTTAAAACCACTAAAACATACAAGGTGAATTCTCCTTTATCTACCAACTATCTTAAAAAATGAAAAATAGTAAAACATTTCTCTCTAACTTTATGTAGTAGGAGAGATCTAAGATATTTTTTCTTTATTAATTAAGGTCTTTCAATATTTTCATTGAGAAAATTTGACTCAAAATTTTTGCCATACTCAGAGAAATTTCGACTCCAACTTAGAAAAATTTCAATTTTCACAGAGAAAAATTTCTCTAGTGTGATCATAGAGAAATTTCTCTGAGTCGGAAAAAAATTTTCTGAATCAAATTTTTTCTGTGAAAATGTTTATGTCATTTATCTTATAAAATCTTAACATCAGAGGTCTTAAAAAAAAAATTTCCTTAAATATGTGAGTCAATATTATCTCATAATTATAATTTTTAAGTTATTATTTATTTAAAAGTACCACATGAGTAATATTACGTGATATTTTGAAAGTACTAAATAATTTACTCCATCAACGATGTTATTGAGTTGTTAAGTTAGCTTCTTTTTTTTTCTCAATTAAAATGACATAACTTTTATTATACACATTAATTTTTATAAATATTATATATATATATATGTATATATATATATCTACTCTTTGGTGCAGGAACGGATGTGGTGATCCCGCCGAGTTGAAGGTGTGGACATATTTTGTGAAGAGTAAATAACTTTGTTTTGTTGTGATTTATTTTGTTAGCTTTTTTTTTTTTTTTTTGCATTTGTAATTTCTAAAATTTGAAAAAGTTTTTTTTTCCCCTTTAAATCGCAATTCTTTTAACAGAGTTTTGTCTTGGTTATTGATGTTGTTTTAAAAAATATAAATTTCACTTAAGAGAATGAAAGTCATAGAATTTAAACATTTAAAAAAAATGAAAAACTCTTAGATGTGTATTAAATACCATATAGATGCACTTTGATTATGTAAGTTACGAGCAATAACTCATGGTAAAGTTATGTAGAGTAACACATAATAGTATTCATATAATTATGAGATTTTTTTTGTTTAAAAAATCTTTTCACGGATATAATATAATGTAAGATTGCATTATGTGGAAAAAAAAATTCCTAAATTAAATACAACACAATATTTATAAAATCAGTAAAAAAATCTTAATTGAGAAATTTTATAGTACCGTATGCACAATCGGGTATGCATTTTATGGTCATTGATTATGATCTATTGTGATATCAGTTATGACTCATTGTGATATTGGTTATGAGTTATGATCCAAGAATTCTTTAATTATACCTTAAGTAATATTTGGTTATAACTCATTATTTTTTAAAGTTATGACTCCTGTAATATTGAATTATGATATTTGTGGTAATCAAACCCACAAATGTTATAATTTTGTAGAGTGTGTATCATAATATTAGCCTTTATAATTTTGTGTCATCTCCTCTTACCTTCTTTTTTTTTTGTGATACACTCTATGGAATACTATTGATGCACACGTGCTGATTTCTATCACTGCTACACTATCTCCATCTATTTTCATATCTGTGATTCATTGTTAATCAAGTCATGAAGTCTGGATTACTCTGGCCAAGAGATTTACCTCCCTTTCTAGGTCTCATATACATCAGTTAAAGACTAAATTGAGTAAAATTACTAAGAAAGAAGTCACAATGGAAGAGTATCTGAATCAATTCAAAGTGATAGCTGATCAGCTTGCTTTAGTATCTTCACCTGTTGATGATGAAGATCTTATTCTTCTGATTTTGAATTGTTTGCCTGATGAATACAATGCCTTGAAGACAACTGTACGTGCTAGATCAGGTCCTATCTCTATAGAGCAACTGTGCTCTCTACTTTGTTCTGAATCTATTCATGTAGAGACTTCTCTTAAGCACATGCACACTGTTGAAGCTCCAGGTCTTTTTGCTTACAACACACACAGGCAATTTTTCTAACAGAGGAGGTCATAGAGGCTATTATGGAGGCAGAGGCAGAGATGGAGGCAGGTTTCGAGAAGGTCCAACTAATCAATCTGGTTATTCTCAGAGAGGTAATAGCTTCAGCACTTTTCAGATGGGCAGACAAGGCTATAACAACTACAACAGCTATGCTCCTGCAAGCAGTTCATCTACTCCCTTAGTGATCTGTCAAATATGTGGCAAGTCCAATCACATTGACCTAGACTGTTGGCATATGATGGATACAACTTTTCAGAATAATTAGCCTACTGGTTTTCAGACCTCACAAAGTTCCGGCCACTCTAAAGCCTATGTAGCATCTGCTCCAGCCTCCACTTCAAATGTCAATTGGTTTTTAGACTCTAGAGCTACTAATCATGTGACTAATGATCTTGATCATGTCTCTTTCTATCAACCTTATCAAGGACATGAGCAAGTAGCCATTGGTGATGGATCGACTCTTCCTATTGCTCATACTGGTAAAGGTCTTCTTCCTACACCTTCATTTCCCTTTTCATCTTACCAACATGCTCCATGTTCCTACTCTTTCTTCCAATTTGCTTTCAGTTCATCAATTGACTAAAGATAACCATTGTACTGTTACATTTGATGAGCATTCATTTCCTATTCAGGACAAGGCTACATAGCAGATTCTGTATAAAGGCTTCTATTCTCAAGGACTTTATCGTCTCATCTCATCTTCAACTACTGTTGTGCCATCTTCTTCTCCTACTGTTGTGCCTTCTTCTTCTCACATCTACATTTCTTGTTCTCCTTTTACTACATCTCATGTAACCACACCAAGTTAGCATTTTCGACTTGGTCATCTTTCTTCCAAGAAGTTGCATCACATATTAACTTATCATCACTTAGTTCCTAAGTCTTCTGTTTTAGGTAATAAAGGCTCTCCTCTATGTGAACATTGTTGTGTTTCTAAGAGCCATAGGTTGCCTTTCTCTTTGTCTAATTCTACTGTAAATAAACCTTTGGCCCTCATTCATACTGATGTTTGGGGCCCATTTTCAGCATATGTTTCAAGCTTTAAGTACTATGTGTTGTTCATTGATGATTTCAGCAAATTTACTTGGCTTTTTCCTCTTCATTAAAAAAGTGAAATGTTTGCAAAATTTCTCGAATTCAAAGCATTTGTTGAAACTCAGTTCACAACTAAACTTCAGATTTTAAGAAGTAACAATGGAGGTGAATATCTCAGTCATGCTTTTCAAGATTTTCTTAAACAAAAAGGGATTGAACATCAATTTTCCTATCAAAATCGGTAAAAAATTCTTAATTGAGAAATTTTATAGTACCATATGCACAATCGGGTATGCCTTTTATGGTCATTGATTATGATCTATTGTGGTATCAATTATGACTCTTTGTGATATTGGTTATGAGTTATGATTCAAGAGTTCTTTAATTATACCTTAAGTAATATTTGGTTATAACTCATTATTTTTTAAAGTTATGACTCCTCTAATATTGAATTATGATATTTGTGGTAATCAAACACACAAATGTTATAATTTTGTAGAGTGTGTATCATAATATTAGCCTTTCTAATTTTGTGTCATCTCCTCTTACCTTTTTCTTTTCTTTTCTTTTTTATTTTTAATTTTGTAGCAGTGATACACTTTATGGAATACTATTGATGCACAGCTGATGATTTGTATCACTGCTACACTATCTCCATCTATTTTCACATCTGTGATTCATTGTCAATCAAGTCATGAAGTATGGATTACTCTGGCCAAGAGATTTACCTCCCTTTCTAGGTCTCATATACATCAGTTAAAGACTAAATTGAGTAAAATTACTAAGAAAGGAATCACAATGGAAGAGTATCTGAATCAATTCAAAGTGATAGCTAA